GCATTCTTGAGTTTGTTTTTCTAGAGGAACAAAGGAGATCCATAGAAGATAATCTAAAGCTATTTTAATAAAATATCCACTGATCAAGGAACAGAAAACAGAATATATATTTTTCTACAGTTCTTAAATTGTATATATAATACGATTTAATATTTCTACAATAGAAAATTCTTCCCATAATATATGTAAATTGGTAGTTCAACCAAATTCTAAAGTCAGCAGAACAGCTATTATTCTTCACACAGGTACTGAGAATTTTCCTGTTAAAATATGTAATTTCAACAGTTGTTGCTGGAGTATCAAACGACCTTCGGTTGGTTTTTGCAGCTACTGTGAACAAGTATATCTTCCCTTTGTGATCAAGGTACGTCTTCTGACATCCTGGACTACTTACGTGATCTGGAGTCATCTGGATTTAAGCAGATAAGTGTACTAGACATGCAAGGATACAGTTATGCTGCCATTGCATGGTGGGATAAGGTAGAACAGACTCCTTTCCTTTCCAGCTTCAATATTGATATGAAGCCAGGAATTCTTGTTATATTAACAAAACATCTGCACTCTCTCCAATGGAGTTTATTTAGTTATTAAAGCAGAGGCTCCAGCTCAGCGTGTCTCACTTAAGGATCTTCAGAATAAAGGTATATTACATGAATAACTAAAAAGCTACCTCTATTAAATAACATACCAAGATATTTGGTAGCATGAAGTATTCAGTATAGTAAAGCATGCTTTCTAAAATAGCTTCTCCAAGAACATAAACCAATGAAACACATAATAAATGCAGAAATCATCAAGTCTTTACAAGTTCCAAAAGTTTTCAGCCCATCCTTGGGGCCAGGGTGGGGGAATCAATAAAGAAAATAGCCCGGGATTCAATAAAAGCCTTGCACTCCAGAAATTCTTATACAGCTATCAATTCAGAGTGCTTTGCTCTCTGCATCTCTTAGGTCATCCCTTCCTAATTAACGATTCATAAGTATTTTCTTCAACAATGCTAATATTTATTATAAAGCATTTTGCAAGATACTTTTTTCCCATGGAAGATAAGTCAAGTTACTTACCTTTCTTCCTGCTAAAAGCACGATTCATGTTGAAAATATATCCAAATGTTTTCTTCCCCCCACGTTAACCTGCAGAACACAAAAAATCCAAAGTCCATTATTATATTTGAAAATAGCAGATTACTTTCATGTTAGGGAAATGCAAGTGATTTTAATGATTCTGAAGTAATTCAGAGAAATAAAAAAACTTTGCTGAGGCAGAAATTGTAGTTTTGAAAAGGTTTATGCTTGAATGAGTTGGGGTCCTTAATATGAAGATATTTGAAAGCTTTCTGTAAAGCTCTTCTCACTGAAATTTATGAGAGACAAAGCAGATGGTCTTATATGTATATATGAAAACAAAAACTATACGTACTACACATAAGCTTTAAAATGAATGCCGATTACAGGGCTACATAAAAGCATTCAATCCACATATTCACTGCCCTGTTTTGTGCCATTTAGGTTGTCAGCCTATTTTAAGCTATGCTTTTAACTTCACATAAACATGACATCTTAAAAAAAAGAAAAAGGCACAATTAAATTTCTTCTTCACATGGGGCTTCAATACTGAAAAAGTTTCCTTCATTGTGACTACCTTCTTCCTCCATTTACATCAGAACTTGTAGACTTACCAACATCTACAACATCTGATTGAACTTGTGTAAGTATAACTATCTGCTACATAGGTGCATGTGTTTAGGGGATAACAGAATTTGCAGTATACTGTGCATTTCCTTCACACAAAAAACAGATATCCCCTTAGATTCTTATTCTGATTTTATATTCACAACATATTATAATTTTCTTTAGTAACACTTTGCAGGCAATAAAAAATCCCAAACCAAAACAAACAAACAAAACAACGCAGAGTCCAAAACCATTCCATTTTGTAGTGTAAGCACCTTTTTCCTGTTTTCTGCCATACTTAAAGATAACTCCACCACTTCTTTCCACTCAGATGGAGCATGAGAAAAAACAAAATCAAAGCACTTGGTATCAGATTAACTCTGAAATCACCTAGAATATTATTCTTGCTTTTAATAGAAACAGTTCTTGTCTTCTTTTTCAAATAAATACATTCAATACCAATTAAAACAATTATATCACAATTTCTATGAAGATGATTCATACCTTTTACATTACAACCTGTGGGCAATCTTTATTACAAACTCATGATAATTTGAAAATAAAGTACAGAGTTTGGTAATGTTAGTAATTTTCCAAATTATACTGTGAGAATGAGGGAACAATTATTGTTCACCTAACCGACAATGCATTATCCTATATGTGCAACAAACCTACACTTACTCTTTCAATACGTATTTACCAGTTTGTTTTGCAGATGTTTAGTGAGTGTTTAAAAGCAGAGGACACAAATAAGCTATAGTAGCAGGACTTACTTTTCAGCTACTACTTTTGGCACCAACAAAAGAAACAATTTATTTGATAAACTGCATAGTGGTGTTTTTTTCTTTTTTTTTAAAACACAAGATGACTGTAGAAGCCCTACTCACACCATGTGTCCATTCACACTGGCATCCTTCACTACCATCCATGCTACACACAAAGCCATGCACACCCAGAGGTCAGTGAAATCAGCAAACTCCCCTAAGGGCCCTGAAGTCTAAGAATGATTTCTGAGAATGATTTCTGCCATGAGGCAGTTTCACCAAAAGCTGCCAAGATGTGATTGACTCTCTACCTAAGAGGGGTACAGAGTAGGACTTCAAGAAGGCTCTGTGCAGTACCACTATTTTCAACGCTGGAAGTGATAATAGATTCAGGCTTAAATGAACAGAACAGGTTTAAATGAAGCAACAAGCAATGAAGTTGATTAGAATTTCAGCTTTTCAAGCAACTGATATGCGTATAGCTTGGAGGTTTACGTTTGCAGAAAGCATGTTATATACATTCAGTATACAAGCAGTTAGAAGAACTGTTCAGTACATTTACTTTGCCCATGAACTACTATAGCAGTGAATAAAATGACTTTTGAGTAAAAAGTCAGAGAGTTAGGGTTTCTCTCTCATATACTCTTAACTTTCTTGAATGGCACTAGACCAATCACTTAAGGTCTCTTCCATGCTGGGATAACACCACCTTCTTCTGAACCTTTTTTGTATGGGGTATTTCAGTCTTCATTGAAGACACTATTGGCTATGTATTTGAGTTCTCTTATTGAGTAGAGCAGCTCCTGAACAGAAACTATGCAGGTGCACGGTGAGGCTGTGACCTCTACCCATCTCTAGAGACCATCATTTAAAGCACTTTTAACTTAAACAACAGTATAACTATTTTAATTTTTATACCCAACATAAATTGTTTCAGCTATTAAAAAGCTGCATATATTTGTCCAACAATAGAGCAAAGTTGCAATAATCAATTCTTGATTATTGTGTTTCTATGGAAAATAAAAACTTGGGATTATTGTTTTTGAAGAATAAGGATATAGATTAGCATTTAAAATAATCTACGCTTCTAAAAGTCAAAATGTCTTGACTTCTGTGAAAAGAAAGTACTTGTAATTTCAATTCACAATAAAACTTCAATAAGAAAATACAGAAATGGCTTAGGCAACAACAAGGAGTTTTTAATACATTAAACACTTAGTGTTCTCCTACTTATCACAGAAAATGTTATTAAACAGCAAGAGAAATATGATTAACAACATATATCTGTCTTTAAAATATCCTGAGTATTTACTGAAACTTTAACATGAACTCTTCCATGAACCTCTCAGAGGCAGAAAAAGCAGGTGGTTAAATACTGTGCAAATTTCCTTATTTCAAAGACAATTTCAAAAAAGTTTATTTGCTTTTAAATCTTAAGGGTTTTAGAGATACTGTACTGCTGCTTAAAGAAAGCCTGTGAGAACCTCGAAGAACAGAGGACAGATGGGTTTTAAAATCACACAACAGTAAGAACTTACAAATCGTAGATTATCGCCACCTTTTACTGGAAAATTGTCTAAACTCTTTTTGTGAGCAGGAGCCCTATGCATCTTAAAATACTGCAGTGCTAATTTCAAAGACAGGTGAAAATGGATAAGGCATGAACCCTCTCTGGAACCCCTGAAGTCCTCAGCTGTGTATTGGACAGTTTGCTGGTATCAGACCAGCAGCAGCAAATTTTTGATTACAAAGAGAGCAAAGCTTTGGTTAAATACATCTGTGATATCTTTGCTAATGATATTCCAACAGACAAACAAACTAAATAAAAACAAGCTGTTCTCTGATTGCAGATGCGAGACAGATTTTCCAACAGAATCTGCTTCAGTTTCTCCCAGTGCTTTATAAATAATAACTAAAAGTGCTGGAAGAAATTGAGTTGCAGAACAGTCTGTTACAAGCTTGTAATGAAGTCAAAAGGAAGGAGGCTCCACTGTGGTGCAGGGGGCCCACTGCAGAAGCAAGGTGGGGAGCATCCATTCTATCAGATCACCTGCTTAGAAAGGGTAAAGCAATTACAACCATCAGAAGCATTAGGGAATGCAGACGAAAATAGTACATTGCTCATCATCATTTAGGAAGACACACCTATGCAAAGAATGTTTCTCTTCCTTATTGCCAGGAGTGTTCTTCGGCTTCCTCCAGAAATCAAACCCTGCTTGGAAAGGCAAGCTTGCATGTGATTTCACAAAGTGATTAGTTGCCAAAATACAAAGAATTCTGACAAGTATGAATTAGGGAAACTTTGGGGTACTTCAGGTTATTTCTTTTGGGGCAAGGAGAAGAGACAGAGGGACAGACCAGAGAGCTCAGAAAGTAAGTTCACAGGAGCACAGCCAAACATCCAGGGCTGAATCTGGGTACTAATCATGTGGCATGGGAAGTTGAGTATATAAACTACCACAGAAAAACAAACAGTAACAGGAGAAAGCAAGTACTTTTAACTCCTTTTCCATTTGTCTTCACTTTCAGTAACTCCTCACTTTTAGAGGTGGATGTGCTTGTCCCAGGGAGGAAGAAACTGCTGAGAGTAGAGTAGCAAGGGCTGTGAAGAACCTAGTGGATTTGGTGACTGAGGTGTTTGCAGGGGACTGGTCCTGTGGGTGTAATGGTGATAAGATCTGAAACTGAAATCGTTTCCTCTGCAATTACTTTTTACCACTACTTACAGTGTCTGTTGTGGTCTTCTATGCTCTATTCCGCAAAGGAAGTGGAACAAAAGGAAGGAAAGTGGCAGCCTTCCAGCCTCAAACATAAGCAACTGCAATCCTCCCTGGCTGCAGGAACAATACTGAAGCTTCCAAACATCTTTAGACAGATATCCCAAAATGCCTGTGGGCTCTCTCAGAAGTTTTGTGTTTTGATGCGTTCTCTAAATTTAGATCCATCTCAGACAAACCAAGAGAGGGGGTACTTACGAAAGGGATGAAACAAACCACCCAACCTAACCAGCCTTATTTGTCGTCTATCTCCTTCTAGCAGTTGAGCATTCCTCAGGATTTGTTTGGATCTTTCCCCCTCCATTCCTCCCCTCAGCTCATCCCTTTAAGTGGGATGAATGGGTTATAATGATTACCCGGGGCAAACTTTTTTTTCCCCCCCTATATCTTCTTCATTCTGCAACTAATTATTCCAAAACAGTCAAATTTGCCCCTCTTCTCCCAACCACTCACAGTTCCCATACAAAGCCAAATTTAGTTTTGGAAGAACTGAAGACTTAAATTTTTTTCTCCTCCTAGAACCCAGCCTTTCAAGCATACTTTCTTAAAGAATGAAACACAAATCATCTCAAATCCTGTTTTCAAAAGGGCTGCAGCATTTAGGAATGTGTGATTCGTTGATTTGCAATGACTCATAGGCTTAAAAGTTACTTTTGAGGGTAAGATGAGGAACTTTGGAATATGGCAACAGCTTCAAAACTTTTTCCCAAGTTAGACCAAAACATTATTATAAATATTGTCCTGAGATGACACATGACAATGAATGAAAAAACACCATAAGACCACACAGAGTGATGTATAAAACCAGCTGAACATCACATCATGACAAACTCCTTTCTTGTGCATGACAAATAACTGAAATAACACTTAGCTGCAAACCTTTCCACTCTGAAACAGGACAGTCAAAAGAAAAAGATGT